TAATAGCACTTTATTATAATATTACGAGGCTTTTAATTTAATAAGAATCTATAAAGAATTAAATAAATAATAATTAAAAAAGAATTTATTATATAATAATCGTCTAATATAATAGAGAAGAAATCGATAAAATAATATAATCTAATTAGTCGATATCTTTCGAATTGAATCGAGCCGTAAGCGCTAAAACTCTAAATTAATATTAGATAATTTCGATATGAGTTTCTTTATAAGATATTATATAGTTAATATCGATTAAGACTATTAACGACGATAGTAAGATCTATATATAACGTACTATAATTTCGAAAGATCTTTAGATATATAATAATAAGGGGAGTTTACTTAATAAGTCTAATATAAGATTATTATTAAGCAGTATAAATCTAAGAAATTAATTTGCGAATATAAAAAAATAAGATCTTTCTAAAGATATTAAATGATTTTAATTCGTTTAAAAATACGATATTCGAGAATTTATCGATTTCTATACTAATTTCGACTATATTTATAAATACTATATCTTCGATTATAGATAGCCTTAATAACTAAGTTCGAATACTTCGTCGATATTCATATTAGAGCGAGAGTATTTATTATACTTCTATATATTAGCCTAGTTTTTATACTTATATTTATATACCTTATCGATATCTATATCCTCGTTATCGCTTATATTAAAACGAGTTATAATTAAATATTTTCTCTTTTTAATATCGATCTTAGTCTTTACTTTTATATATTATTCTATAAATCTTTTTACTTTCTTTTCGATTAATTTCTCTATAAATTATTAATAATTAAGCTATTTTCTTATAATATACTTCTTTAACTAAGATATAGTCTAATTTCTTTTATATATAATAAGTACGTTATATAAACGAAGCTCTAATTTCTCTTATAAATTACGTATAATATTAGTATCTTTAAAATTACTTTCGTATTCGATATATATTATAAAGTTTCTATAGAATTTAAGAAAGAACTAACTTTTTTAATTTATTCTACTATAAGTACGCTAATACGTCTATTAAATAATAGATAATAATACTTTATATATATTACTTAGATAATTTAGAAGAACGTCGATTATAAGATATAAGCGATATCGTTATTTAATAGATATATAGTAACTAGCCTTTTCTTTAAGTCTCGCTACGACGTAGATAATTTTAAAAGTATCGATAAGAAAATAATCGCCATTATAGATAAATTTATCTTAGATTCTTATTTTTCAATTATTAAATAATACTAAATTAATATTTATAAAGATAGATAAATTTAATAGTCTCGGGCTAAGTAGCTATCTACTAGTCGAAAAGATATAATATAATATAGAATATTAATCTATTATATTATACTCTAATATAATATAAAATATTAATATTTATATAATTTCATATCTAGTATAGTATAGAATCTTAGCGAGATATATCACGATATAATATATCTGTGATATTATACTATGAAATAATATATATATGAGATATCCCGACTGGGATTTCTATATTTAGAAGTATTCTCGTTATTATTCTAATTAACGACTCGATAAATCCGACATAATAGCTACTACTACCATGGCTGCCACTATTATGCCTATCACTATCATGCCTACCACTATCATGCCTACCACTACCATGCCTACCACTACCATGCCTACCACTACCATGCCTACCACTACCATGCCTACCACTACCATGCCTACCACTACCATGCCTACCATCGAAATGTGGCCCCCGCGCATCCCAGCCACCATGTTTTCCAGCCACCTGATTTTGTACTGTATTTAGGACCTGGCCCCGGAGAGGTTTTTCTATATATCACATACCTGACATTTTAACAGCTACCACTACTATGGCTACCACTATTATAGCTACCACTATTTATTATTGAAATAGCCTACTATCATATAGTAGTTATGGTAGGGGTAGCTATGATAGTGGTAGTCATGGTAGGGGTAGTTATGGTAGGGGTAGCCATGGTAGGGGCAGCCATGGTAGGTAGCCATGGTAGGTAGCCATGGTAATGGCAGCCATGGTAGTGGCAGCCATGGTAGGTAGCCATGGTAGGGGCAGCCATGGTAGGGGTAGCCATGGTAGTGGCAGCCATGGTAGTGGCAGCCATGGTAGTGGCAGCCATGGTAGTAGTAGCCATGGTAGTAGTAGCCATAGTTGGCCAGAATGATGACCAGAATAGCTACTTATACTTCTAAATATAGAAATCCCAACCGGGATATCCCATACATATACCATACCATGGTATGATACCACAGATATACCATACCGTGGTATATCCCGCCAAGATCCCGAACCCATACCAGAAAAATGGAATGGTATCCGACCCTATCCATACCATACCCGGGTACGGTATGATATCACTTGGTATGGAATATCCCATGGAATATACCATACCTTTCCGGTTAGTATAGCTATCTAATTTATAATAAGATCGATCGATTTCGATTTTCTTATAGAGTAAATAGAGATAAGAATGAAGGTGGAAGAGTAGAGATTCTAGGCGAGTTTTAGCTCTACGTCTTCTCTTATTATTTTAATATCTTCTCTTAATTAATATAAGATTGCTAATAAAGATTCTTAGTAGATAGAGAGCGTTATACGCGTAGCATATAAAGAGACGACGAGTTAGAAGATAAGTATCTTCTATATAAATTATCGTATATAAGATAAAGCTAATCTTAATATATAAATAAACGGCGATATAAAGAAAGATATCTTAATATTAATATAAATAGAATTAAATAAGAATTTAAAAATTTATAATATATTAAATATAGATATAGAAAGATCTCTAAAGTTCTAATACTATAAAGGCGTATATAAATTAAGAAGAATAGTAGATCTCTATATTTAACTATAACGTTCGAAGTAGTATTATTTCTTCGCGGAGATCTAATATATCTATTTCTTAATTAATTAAATCGTCGTATAGATTCTAAATACTTTAAATACGACTTTATCGAATAGTATTATTTCGCCTAGAGAGTTTCTTTTACGATTATAGAGTTATTGTAAGAAAGATAAGCGAAGAGCGATATCTTATTTTTAATATAGAGAACTCGTTTTTTAATAGATTAAGCTATCGTTAATAATATAAATTATCTAATATAGATTTTTCGAATAATTTATATAAGGTTTTCTATATAGTAGAAATACTTAACGTTTTCTTTATTAGACTCGATCGCTTACTTCGAGTAGAAAATAAAAAACCCATCAATTTTCTTCGTCGAGAGGGGGGATATGAAGAAGCCTTATTATAATATTAAAACTAGTATAAATATAATACTAGTATAGATGAAATAGATAGAATAATAAGGCTATCGAACTATATAGATAGAAAGGAGATATAATATAATAGAGGATGTCTTCGCTAAGGCTCGCTAGCTATAGGGCTAAGGGCTAAGTAGAATACGCTCGTAATAGATAACTCTCTTATTACGAGTATTATCGAGTTTATAAATATAAAATTATAAAAACTATATATCGCTAAATTATTAACTAAATTATATAAAAAACTTACTTTAAAATAATCTCTTAAATTTAATAGATTTATTATTACTCTCGAAGATAATATAAAACTTAATTAATTTAGATAAGTAAAGAAGATCTAATTATTTTTAAAGTCATTTATAAAAAAATAGTACGTTATCTATCGAGCTTAAGAAATATATATTATAACTATATTATAGTTATAAGCGATATTTATTTTATTATATATCGTCTAAATTATAGAGTTTATATATAAGAATATTTAATATCTAAATTATTATCTTATATAATAAATAAAAAAAAGAGATCTTATATTCGTTAAGTTAGATATAATATCTCTAAGAATTATAATTTTTATAATTTTATTATTTATTAATAATAAAGATTTCTCTTTTTAAATGAATTATATAATAGTTTTAGCTAATATTCTAAATAATATTAATATTAATATTAATATTAATAATTAGTAATTAATTAAATATTATTAAATTATTAGAAATATATTAATCTTTAAGCTTTATATTTTATCTCTAGAATTTAATATTATAATTACTATAAAGTTTACTTTAAATTAAATCTTCTCTAATACTCTCTAGAGAAAGATATCTCTTTTTATATATATAGACTCGAAATCTCTATATAAATATTTTATTAAGCTAGAGATAATTTAAAAGAAGAGATTAATAATAGATATTTTATATCTAAAATAATCTTATAAGCGATAAGAAATTATTAAGATTCTTTAAATTAAAGAAGATAAGAATTTAATTAATATAATAATAAAGAATAAGAAATATAATATATTATAAAGATTAATAAATATAAATTAATTAGATCTAAATTTAGAAGAATTAATAAAAAAATAAGATATCGATTAATAAGAAATTATCTTTCTTTTATTACTACTAGAAATACGTTTAATATAATTAAATCTATTCTTATTATAATAAAGAAAGTAATTATAATTATAGAGGCTATAAAGAAGAAATATTTTAATAGTATATAAATAGTCTCACTTTTTATTTTTTACTAATATTAAAACGACTTAATACTCGCGATTACTAGTATTTATTTAACTTAGTATATTATATATAAAGGTCTTTTCTATATATAGAATCCTTCTTTTTTAGATATTATTAGAAATACCATAACTAGTGATAGGTCTTAATGCATACCGAGGTATTATCAACCATCCCCGTTTCCGTCAGATAGATCTGGCCATGTATACAACACGCTTTTATATGTACCGTCATAGGCTTCTCAACAACGGGCAAATGTCATGAGATAGGCTTAAACACCCACTGAGTAGGTCAACATTAGCTGATGGACATACCAAGTGACACTGGTGCGTACCAGAGAGGCGCGCGGAGAATTACCTCAACGATATCACCAAGACAGCCCAGATACCAGAGGCGGCGCGGCTCGTGTCTCTTCCAGCACGCATTAGGGACGCGCTTATTCACCAGAGTTCCCTGGTAATTTGACTCCGGTGGCCTAGAAAGTCCTGGCGGGCAATTTGAGCGAAGGCCTCTTCCCACGCTCCCTTCCCAGCAGTGAGGGTCTCTTTCCCGGCTTACTACTAGAATCCTCCTCAACATTATCCAACCCGCGCTTGATCACCGCCACCTCATCCCGTTTCACGAAAATGATGTCCCCGTCATGCGTCACGTTCATCATCAGCTTGATATCGGTACTCAGCCAATCGGCTGGGAGGAAGAAATGGCGGTCATAATGGTCAGCATTAGCGCTGAGAGGGTCTGCCGAGGAGATCCAGCCATCGCTGCGTAGGAAGACGAGTCTTTTACCATCGTCTCCGATGAGGGTCTTGACTTGATCGGCCAGAGAATGATATCTAGGTATGGGCGCTGCAATCATTGAGTCGATGCCGAAGTCGGCAGCGTCCCAGAGTAGAAGTTTGGACTTTGATTGGGGCCTTGAGTCTTCACCAAATGTGGTCGCAATCGTTGTGTTGTTGAAGCAGGGAATGATAGAGCGAATGGCTAGCTCAGGGAGTATGCTGCCCTCCAGCAAGATCCCTTGCTCTCCCGTGAGCCTTTGCAACGATTGCCATTCGTACACGTGTGCAATATTATCCAGTATGAGGATCAAATGTTCTTCGTTCAGCGGATGAGTCGTCCATCTGGAGGGACCACGTTCGTGCCACGAGATCGTCTCTATCACGGTGCTCATCTCTCCGGGCGATATGTAGCAAAGCGTATCACTCTTGCCTGTGCATAGAAGGATATGTGTGGCGCCGCGATTAGTCAGTACTTGTTTCAGAGCAGCACCTGCGCGATGGTCGAACAGTGTATCAGTGGCTTCCCAAGCCTGTTGCCCCTGCTTCAATTTGTGGACTCTGACGCGACTAGCGTTATCAATACTGCTCAGCGTATTGCTTTCGACGTCGAAGAAAAGTGACAAGATAGAGGCCCCTTTCGCATGACTGAATAATTCATGACTTTGCCGCCCAGACTTGGTTTCGTAGAGATAGACCGATCCGTCCTCTTTGCCGCAAAAGAATACCCCGCCATCTACATGGCAAATCATTGAGGTTATGAGAACGACGTTCTCTTTTGGCTCCAAGCTGATCTCTTGTGGTGCTGTTGAAACGGATATTGTATCGCTATTTTCTTCATCGCCGTCCTGGCGCACCAGGACCATTGGGTCCCATACTCGACATTCTGATCCTCTGATGTCAAGCAAACGGTGGCTGTCTCCGGTGAAAGCTAGCTCTTTGATGCAGTATTCATCTGAGTTTATTCGGTAGAGAAGCCTGAGATTTTCGAACTCAAAGAGTTGAATTGAGCCAGAAGAATCGCCAGTAGCTAGAGTCCGCCCATCAGGAGAGCATGCAAGCGTTTGCGCGTTCACTGACGTCTTTTCCCTGACTGTTCCCTCTAGGGTGTCGAATAAGACCAGATCTCCATCTGAGTAGGCGGCGGCCAATAAAGTTGCATTGGGAGTTGCACTGAAGACGAGGCCTCCCGTTACACCAGCGCTCACGTCCACCTTCGCATTCTTACTACTAGATCCAGCCTTGCTGTACGTATCGTGAAGTGCGTCTCTGTCCAAATTCCATAGAAGTATGTCTTGACCTCGGTAGACTACCGCGAGGAGACATGATTCTATACAGAACGCTGCCGCTATAGGGCGACGATGTGCATGGGATTGTGGTCCTTCGAGATCCAGCGTCCAATCTGCAGTGTCTCTGAGGGTTCCTTCAGCGAGATCCCAGATTGCCAAATTGTTGTTCTTGAGCGCTCCAAGCAGGAGTTGGTCCTCCTCTATCAGCGCCAGGGACATACATTGTTGAGGTGTCGCAAACTCCCATACTTGCTCGAATGCGCGTACATCCCATATGCGCACTTTCCTTGGCCCGGCAGAAATAAGTATATCCATCCTCTGCCCAAATGTTAATAGCTTCACAGGCTCTGGATGATTCAGTGTTTGAATTTGCTGGCAAGTAGTCTCATTGTATATCACGATCCTTCCGCTAGACATACCGACAGCGAAGAAGCTGTCCGAACAAGCCAAAGCGGTAAACTGCTCTTGCGAATCGACGATGGTGGACAAACAGTCGTCCCAAGTTCTGGCCGATAAGCCAAACACGGCGATTCCTCGCGCAGAAACTGCAAATTGTTTCCGAAGGGCAGTCTCAGGTGGACAGAATGGAGGAACGAGGTGATATATGGAGGAAGGATAATCCTTGATGTTCTTGCCAAATTTCGTCACGAGTCGGATGAGATCAGTAGCCCAGCAGTCCAGAACTACAAATTCCCTGCCTACAGGCGCTAGATGTTTCAGCCTCCTCTGCAAGAACTTCCGAAAAGCCTTGCCCGCCTGGATCAAACGATTGAGGTCGGAATACTGTGCGATATACTCGATGCACGAAAGTACGTTTGTTGAGCTTAGCAACTTGGTTAAGGCAGCTAAAGCTTCATCGTCCTGCGATGACACGTAAACGACATGTTCGAAGAATGAATTGCATGCATAATTGACGAACAGACCACGTCCCATGGCAAAATTACCCGAGCTAAGTCTCCGGTGCTTAGGACTTCTCATCTCATTGCCGTTCAGATATTCCATACAGGTCATAAACAGCCTTCTATGACCCGCTCTTTCTTCAACTCCAAATTCTGAGAAGTCGCTGGACTGGAGCAGGAAATCACGAGCCGTCTGATGTACCATTTGCACGCGCGATTGCGCATCGACATAAACAAATTGACCACAGCGCGACTCGATCGATGCTTTGACATTATTAATCTTATCTTTGATGTCGATCTGGAGTGCGTGGTACAGCTCATCTGTCGTCAAGGGTCGAGAAGAACATACCACCCAGGTCAGAATTGCTCTCGCAAGCACCTTTCCATAAGGAGGCGCTTTGGACATTGAATCCAGAATTCGCGAGTAGAGGGAATTCATGTCAGAAGGAACTTCCTCGAGGACCTGGCGGATCTCGGCGGATGTATGGACTCGTCTCAGCTCTTGTAAAATCAGGCTGACCCACAAAAAGCACCCTGCAGACTTCTCCAGTATCTTGGAGACCGTGCCCTCTTCATCTTCTTCCTCAATTGAAGGTAGTTGGTCCATATTCGCCTCGAGGTACAATGCAATATCGGATTTAGTATCATCAGCTAGAATCTCCTCCTGGACCACCTTGACCTGAGGATGTACGACTTGTCTATGAAATTCGAAGCGGTCGCGGGACGTCAGTAGTATACGTATATTTGAGCGCATCTCTATGACCTTCAGGAGGAAGGGAACCAAGTCAGAGCCGTTTTTACACTCATCTAACGCATCAATCACCCAGTACTGCGCTCTGTCAAATTCGACTCGGAGGATGCCCTCCATAAGAAGCTTTCTCCAAATGGTACGATAGTCGGCTTTGCATAGCTGATCATCCTTCTCACAAATGTCCAGCACAGTCTGCAGAACATCCGTATGCATGTGAGCCATTTGCGTCGTCATTGACAAGAGGAAGGAGCTGATGGTAGTCTGTGCTTTGTTGCGATAGTCGAAGAAGTAGAAGGCGATGTCTCGCTCCAAGTCTTTAAGATGATGGACAACTTTCCCACTCAATACGGTCTTTCCAGTGGCAGGCTTTGCACTGATCCACATGAGTTGCGCAGTTGCTGTATCTCGCCACTCTTGGAATGTTTTCTTTCTCATGAGCCACTCGCAAGAGCCTGGTAATCGCAGGGCGTCAATGTCCATGAAGTCGTCCTCAAGTGCATCTGAGACCCCAAGGTATTCGCCGAGCCGCCTTCGCTGCTCACTGTTGACCTCATGCTTGGAAGGAATGACGCTGGTCTGCAGCTTGTCGATAGTTGATGCAAGAGCATTCCGAACGGTCTGGTAGTTTGGATCCTCTTGATTTGTATACTTGCAGACCTCTCGATGATTGGCATTCAGGTATGTTGAATGCTCGTTCGGGTAACCTAGAACAGCCGCGTCTTTTTCTACCACGAGGCTTTTACCAAGGCCATATGCCATAGGTAGTGTCTCATAGAAGGAGTAGAGTCTTAAATCCTGACAATACTGCGGGAATTCCTCGTTGATTGACTGGGTTGCCAGAGAGTTGCGATGTAGGTCTTTCACAAAGGGTCTCGCTCCCGGAGACACGTTGAGGACTTTGGTGAGGAGTTGAGCCAGGTCTGCCCCGCGGTGAGGTGTCGCAAGAAACAGTATAGCCTTGACTCGTTGAGAGACTTTCTCGTATCCTCCCTTTTGTCTTGCCATAATGTATGCACGCTTTATTACAAGACCACCGAGGCTATGACCTATCAGGATCAATGGAGCCTAGATAAGTCTAAGTCTGCGGTCTCTAGGATAGAAATGTCGTTTGCAGTTTAGGATTTGAGCGTGTGGTACGTACCCTGGAATTATGTGGGATTAGAGGACATTCCTGTATAGATCCAAGGAGCGCCTTTGCAAAGTCGTGCACATTCAAAATGCTCTCGTTGCCCCAGTTGGAGTTGTACCCAAAGCTGTGTATTCTGACATCTTGGAACCGAGGATCTTGTGGAAGCCATTCTTTTGGCCAATACAGCGACGGGTCGTTGGACTTCGTCCATGTACTTCTCGACCCTCCACCCAGACCATGTACGAATACAAGGTCCGCGACGGCCGGGTTATCTGGGTCAAACAAAGTGTTCAACCCAAACGGCCCTTTGCCATCTTCAGACGATTGCTCTCCGTCGTCGCGCCTGGTGAGGGTTCGAGAGAGGAAGGAGCGACCGGAGGAGGTTGCATTTGTCTTTGAGCGCTCCATGGCGGAGACGCCGCTTTCCCGGCTTTCAGACCGCGCAAGCCAAAGACATGTAGAAGACCATGCTAATACCAGGCGCGGTCGCAGCGATCCCAGGACCACTGCTCTCGGAAAAGGCCGTCTCGCAATTTGAAACTGCCCCACGAATTAGAGGATCTGGAAGGCGATTCTCAGAGCACACCAGCAATCACTGGAATTGAGGTGGCAATGAATTTTGAATTTGCGCGAAGGCATGGTCCTGGGCAGCACGAAGTATCTGGAAGACTGTAGGTGTTAATTCGAAGTGGACGGTGATTGTAACGAAAGACGCCGATACCCCCGGCTTCCAACCCCACGCTGCGCGTGTATTCTCTCGGGTCTGTGAGAGTCGAGAACCAACGCCACTTATGCCGGTACGAGCTGTCCTCTTTGGAACATTGCGCAGATAGTCATGCCACATACTTAACTTCTAGATTGTCAAGGATGCACGATTATTGTTGTTGATCATTAGTTCTTTTTGGCAAAGATACGTCCGATCCCGCATGCACGGCTCGGTCGTCCTTTCAAAGCGGTAAAAGATGACCGCTCAACAGCCACAGGAGCGCCATGTTCGTTTGAGTCGAATGATCGGGACCAATGACCACATCCCACGTCTCCACCTTGGAGCCGCAAGATGGTGTAGGTACGCAGACGGCGACTTTTCTCTATCGTTCCCGAGAGCACGAAAAGTGGGCTACACCACTAAAATGCGGCCCGCGGGGGCTCTCTCGCAGTGTCCGGCAGTCCGCTGTCGTAAAATTGACGGTCCAAACTCAAACTCATTATGTTCCTAGCCACATTTTCTGCGTTGCAGTTTGGGTGAATCTTCATGGAACGTCGATGCGATCAAAAATCATACACAGTACAGGGACGCTGGTTCTGGTAACGATGGTCCAGGTGTCCCCCGAGCGGAAGTACTTATCCACCGAGGCATTATCGCACTGGCAGTCATCACCCAAAGAGGAAGGTATGTGTGGCAGAGTAATGTAGCACGGGAATTGCGCCTGCAGCTTCTGGCAGGGAGGTGGCAGTCATGCATCTGGCGCTAAACTCGTTCGAAGGAATCACAGACTGAACTTCTCAGGGCAAGCCTCACATTATTCAGCCGCCATGAAACAAATACTTCCCCTCTCCCCTCCCCCTCCCTCGTCTGAAATTCTATATGAGAATATAGCTGCAGGCTTCGCTTTCCTGTGATTTTGGCCTACGTTCAAACGCTCTTTATAACACTGATCTATCACACTTCTGTTCACCCTACCTTCCTCAACTCATACTTCCGAGCATTCGAAACGAATAATCAACAATGGTAAAAGCCGAAGATCAAGAAGGGAAACCGGTCTGGGATAAGCCTGTTGATGTTGATGAGAAATGGATTCAGTTTGTCGATGACAATGTCTCAGCAAGTAAGCCGCTTGCAATATAGATTAATCAATGATTGAAGCAGCTAACATTCGCAGAGTTGCCACCAGGCTCCAAAGTCAAAGGCATCGCCCCTTTCGGAGCCAGCTACTGGACACGTACAGCCGAAATTCCAACCGTGCAAGCTGACGGCTCGGCCTTGTCCTTCTTCCTAAAGGTCGCGCAGCATGAAACCGGCAAAGCCATGGTCTCCGGCGAATTCGTCTCAATGTCATCGCTCTACAAGGCGCTCCCGTACATCGTCCCCCATCCCTATGCTTCGGGGACTTATGCTTCCGACCCCAACACTCACTTCTTCCTCTGCGGCTTTGTAGACATGGACGAAGACCTTCCTGACGTTCAGAAATTGGCGCGCGGTCTGGCAGAACTACACATGAACGGCGTAAACCCGAATGGTAAATATGGCTTTCATGTCCCAACTCTTCAAGGCACGATACCTCAGTACACTGAATGGACTGAGACGTGGGAAGAGTTCTTTTCTCATTCCATCAGACGCGTCTTTGAGAACGAAGAGAAGTCGCAGGGGTATGACGAGGAAGTGCATGAACTGTGTAGGTTGACTCTTGAGAAAGTGGTGCCTCGATTGCTTCGGCCATTGGAGACTGGCGGTAGGATGATCAAGCCGAGATTGGTCCATGGTGATATTTGGGACGGCAACGTCTCCACAGACCTAAACTCGAACACACCTGTGATTTATGATGCTACCTGCATATATGCTCACAATGAAAGTATGTGAATGACACTCCGATGTTTCGACCGCACTGACGAAGTAGTCGAACTTGCGCCTTTGCGACCAATCCGCCATAAGATGGGAAAGCAATACGTGAAAGCCTATTTCGAACACTTCCAAATGTCAGACCCAGAAGAAGACCAGGACGATCGGAATGCTTTGTACTGCCTGTAAGTGAAAATTGCAGCTCTTATCGGCAGCTATCGCTAAAGACGTGCGTCCAGTCGCTGGGATATGAATTGCTCAACATTGTACCCCGGCAATCTTCGATACAGAAAGATGTGAGGGCTCCAGCATCTCAGGGTCTTTGGCACTTTGGAGCTGACAGTGCAAATAGGTGCACCGATGTGATGCGCTACTTCGTCGATAAATTTCCGAACGGTTATGAGGGCTGGGCGAAGGAGAGAGGGGAAAAGCCGGTTACCAGAGACTATCTGAAGCCTTTTTAGAGATGGGCGAAATATCAAAGATGTCCAGTCGCTCGCAGGAGTCTTCGGAGCTTGCGAACGAACGTGGGATATGCGCCTTGACGTGCAGCTTACGGAATCGGCACGGCTCTAGCATCGTTGCTTCTCACAGATTTTTCGTCGCGAAGCAGACAGCTCGCAGTCTCTAGGAAGACATAATAGACCTATTTACTCAATTAGAAGTAGGTAGAGATGACATTGCAGGAACTTGTTCTGACAGTGGGAGCCTCCTCAATTGCGGTCATCTATATGGGACCAGGTTTGTGGAAGCTTGCTTAAAGGCCAGGCCCAACGCTGAATCCAGAACCCCGGCCTCAAGTGATATTCAGAGACCAATATTGGTCCAATCTGGTTCGCTAGCTGCTCTGATTCGTTCTTTGACCGGAAAGGGAAGGCTGAAGTACAAGGCGCAAAGTCTCAAAAGCCTGGTATCTTTTAAGATACCTCTTCCCACGTCGGTAGGGTTTGATCAATGATATTGAAGGCGTATCACTATTGGTGGCAGAAGCGAGGTTTAACATCTTCAACATTTCCTTGGAGGGATTGTAAGCTGGATCGAAAACGAGCAGGCTGCGGGAGCCATTTTTCCGCTTTTCAATACCGACGACGGTCATTGAGTGACGGGGCCGTTGGAGATAAATGGGAGGGAGTTCGGTGTTCTGGACTCTGGGAGACGTCCTCAGGTGTGAAGTGGTGATTGAGTTGGAGAAATAGTACTCCACGGAATCGAGCAATTGCTCGTAGGCCTTGGCGCCACCTTTGATGTCCTGGAACCTGTCCGTTTTACAAGGGATCTTCAAGCTACCAAATAGTGCTTGGGCCTGTAAGTATGTCAATGACTTGTTCACTCCGTGTCATTCGCTACCGACAGCGGTTCAAAGATGGCGTAAGAGTGCCCCCCAGCAGCATGGGTTGAAAAAAAAAGTGTTGCGCATACCTCTGGCGTCCCAATGTGTTTTCGAGTGCCCTTGATCCCGCCCGTCTGCAGCCGGCCAGACTCATTGAAACCGTGATCCCAAGCCTCCTCGATAATATTTTGTATCTCCCAGATGGTGGGAATACCATTAGCAAAGTTTTCAGAACCTTGCACCTCTGCGGCATTGATGTAGCTGACGAGCATTTGGATATTGTGATAACCACAGAAATTGTTACCCTCATTTTTACCCTTGACTTTGATCTTCCCAACATAACGTACAGCAAAATGGCAGATGTACGCTGTCTCGACGTCTCGGTCTTGGTCGATTAGCTTGCCAAGAACATCTGAAATTCCGGATGGCGCATCTTCTAGATGCTGCTTTCCCTCATCCTCAAGCAGGCAGTATAGCCAGTCTGGCATTTTGTTCTCGTAGGCATAGCGCCCGAGATCACGCTTCTGTATGCCCATTTAGCTTCGCGGCTTGAAAATCCAGACTTCCATTCAACGGAATGCTATCGATGAAAGGTTGGACGTGCAGCAGCGATGCGCTGAGGAGGATGGAGAACTGGTATCCAGGAGGGAGACTTACACCAAGACGGCCGCCGTTCTCGGCATCATTGCGCTTGCCCGATACAATGCTGAAACAACCCCCAACAAGTCCTGACAATGTTCGATCAGGAGCGGCAGGTGGCATTCTCTGTTTTTCTTTCTCGGATAGGAAGCAATGCAGGCCCGTCCGATCCAATTCCGATATCAATGGGCTTCATTCTTGGCACATATTTTCGGCGCTCTAGACGGAAGGATTGAATGCTGATAAATGAGAGATATCCCCGACGGTATTCTCAGGCGAAGGGCCCTGTGTGTTGGTTTGGGGTGAACAGCGTAGGGAGTCAAGGGGGCGGTGACAGGGCGATGAATCAGCAGATTCTGTGCGGCTCGCGACGGTTACGGATCTTATTAACCTCGTTCTATATACGTGCGAGTTCGTCTCGGTCCTGAAGCATGCTGTTTTCGTCGGCCTGTTCCCGTTCGAGCTCCTGACGGGCCAATTGCAATTGAGCGGTGTAGGGATTAGGGACCGGGTCTGACGGGGTGGGTGGTCCTACTGGAGGAGGTAAGGGTCTATTAGAGGTTCCTCCTATAGGTTTAGTGGGCGGTTCTTATAGAGGTAGTGGTCTGGTGGCGGCAGCCTGACGTGTAGCTATGGCCTTTGCGGTAGGCTTGCGAGAACGCTTGGGGGCCATTAGTAATAGCTGAATAGCAATGGTGTAAGTAGAAAAATAATGTGTTTTCCAAATGAAAAAAAGAAAAAAAAATTGCTTTCGTCTGATGTCAGGAAAGAAAAAAGTCCAAAAAACCTCTTCTTGCGACGAGAGGAACAAGAATGAGGAGCAAGAAACGGGGGGGACACCGCCTATTCAAGGCTCTTCCAACATGGCAATCTCGGCTATCCTGCCATAAGTGTGTGCTGTGCCTCTCCCTCACTAGCCCCCAGTCAAGCTGTGGCGAGTTTAGTATGGGCCGTACTTCACCCGGCTTAGCGCGCCGACCTAGTAAGTTCCTCGGTTATACTCTTAGCGCTAAGAGGAGATATTTTCTATTCTTAGATTAGTATAATATAGATTTAATCGTATCGCTTATAGAGTATAGATAATTTATTAAGATTAAAATAATTTTACTCTATTATTTAAATTAAATATCTTAATTATATAGTAAGTAATAACGCTTAATTTTTATTCTTTTACTTAATACTAGAATAATATATTTTAAAACGTAAGCTTTCTAGTAATAAAAGACTAATTAAATACTAGATTTTAATTATATTTAATTCTTAGAGAGATTCTAAAAACTCTTAAGAGCTTTTTTAAGAGTTTATATCGAAGAAGCTATTAAAGTAAGCTTAAAATTAAATTATCTTAGTAATATTTAATTAACTTTTAACTTACTTTAATAGTCTTTTTAATATAAATTCTCGAAGAGTCTTTAAGAGCTTTAAAGAGTTTAATTTTAAGAATTAAGAGAGATATTATAATATATTTAAAGGAAGATTCTTTAAAAAAAATCTAACCCTTCGAAGGCTCTTTAAAAGCTCTTCGAGAGCTTCTTCTAAAGAAACTCTTCTTATAAATAAAATATCATATATAAATCTTAATCTTTAATATTAATATATATAAAAGAATAAGATAGAGTTAAATTAAAAAATCTTAAATTTATATATATAGTTAATTATAAATTTAGAGTTATTACGCTCTTCGATTAGATTAACTATATCTGCAAATCTAAAAAGTTTCTACTAAATTTCAAATTGCTGATCTTGCGCATAGGGCTGAAATTAAGAATTCCGCCGGTTCAGCAACTATCTCAAAAATCAGCTAAAATTCCGCCGATTCAATAGGGAGTTTCAGGCCACTTTTTTTCCGCGTGGTACTTTCAGGTTTTCAGACTTTCAGTGATTTGCTACCGAAATGTGGTGGCAAATTACTAAAAGTCTGAAAACCTGAAAGTACCACGTTTGAAAATAATGGGACTTCGGAGTGCCTTTTTTTTGGTTTAATGGTTTTTTCAGCCGTGGTTTTTTGATAGATTCTATAGATCTAGTAGCTAAATAAGACTATTCTATTACTTCTACTACTACTACTATTACTATCACTACTTATTAATAATATTATTATTACTATTGCGATTCTTCATATATCTATACTCTTCTCAATATCTTCTATCCTTCTTAATATCTTTCAGCCTTCTTAATGGCGCAAAAAAAGCTCTCTAGGTCTATCTCCGAAGGTATTACTAGTAGTATAAGAGTTCTTAATTCCATATAGCGTTTCTTCATAAAGGCCTTATAGACTGCTAGCCATTTTCTCGTTTTAGGATATCTTCTATTGTGTCTTCTAAGGCTGATAAGAAAGAGATTAAACATCTTATATCTCTATATCTTCTTATTAGATAAGCGAGGTATAGTTGCTAATAGTAGAAATAATAGCTAATAGTAATATTAAGTAGAATACTCTATAACTATATACGGAGAAAACTACGAAGTATTCTCGAAAGCTAGGGCTAGGGCTATAAGTGATAAATCTATTATAAAATTATAGAAATAACCTTGTTTTTATATGTGAGGTCTTTAGATATTTAGATCTTCTAAAAAAACTACTGCTAAAAGTCTAAAAACCTAAAAAAACCATAGCAAAAAAAAAAGTGGCCTGAAACTCTCTAATAACTATTCTAATCTTTTTTACTAGTTCTATCAGTTTAGTAGTAATACGTATAAAAAAAAAGTTCTAATAATTAACGTTGTGACGATAAGGTTTTACAATAACGAGTATTAACGTTAACTTAAATTTAGCTATAGAATTAAATAATTTAATAAAATTAGTTATATAAGTAATACTCTAATATAGCGTATATTAATAATAATATATATTAATATTATATATATATAGAATAGTACTTAGAGTATATTAAAGTATATTATATAAAATTTTTAAAGTTACTAAATTTTTTTAAAGTTACTAAACTAATAGAATTAACGAAAAGAATTTAGATATAAGTAAAGTTTACTAAATAAACTAAATTGTACTAATCGTGCGGACTCGGCGAAAATCGTACGGAAATTAATTTTTTAGATTTGCAGATATAAGTTATCGCTAATAAATAAATTAATATTCGTAATTATTAAAAAAATGTAGTCGAATAGCTCTAATTAAAAAATAGATATGTATTATTTAATTTTAGAACGAGTAAAGGCCTATAAATTAAATTCATACTCGTTTTTTTTAATCGGGGCTGTCGAGTAAATTTTGGTGAGCGATCTTTGGTAAGCGATCTTTAATAAGCGATATCTGAATTCCTCGCTTTTAAATACCTATAAGACTAAATTTAGAAATTCTTTTTTTATCTAAAAGCCTATATTACGTTCTATAATATAAATAAAAAAATTTAATTTTAATAGAAAATAAAAAAGTTATTCTAAAATTAAATAATATACACCTATTTTTTGATCAGGGCTGTCGAGCGAACTTTGGTAAGCGACTTTAGTGAGCGATATTTGAATTTCTTGCGCTTT